GAGAGAGAGAGAGAGAGAGAGAGAGAGAGAGAGAGAGAGAGAGAGAGAGAGAGAGAGAGAGAGAGAGCTGGAAGCGCAAAGAAGAAGCGGCGGCCATAGCTGTCGAGCTCAAATTCGAGGAAGAAGATGACTGGAAGTGACGAGAAGAAGACAGAAGAGAAGGAAAGAGGAAGGAGAGACGAAGAAGAAAGGGAAGGAAGCCATAGCCAAGGTGGGCTCAGGAAGAAGACGAGGGGAGAGAGAAGAAGGTTGATGAAGGAGGTTGGCGGTCGTAGCCAGGAGGTCAAGCGTGGACCACGAGGGTTAACCAAGGGCGTTGACCAGCGTTGATCGACGTTGACCGAGACCGTGGACCACGACGTTGACCAAGCTGGAGCGCGGTATAATCTTTCCAAGCCTTGGCCTATTCCCTTACCCTGTGGATGTGCACATAACCTTGGTACTTGCTCAAGCGTCCGTCTGTCTCTTCTTTCTGCATTGAGTCACTTCTATCCAGGTGATAGTTTCTGTGTATGTGGTCGTAGAGTTGTGGTGACCAAACCTACACGGGACTTGGTAGGGCTGCAACTACTCTGACAATTGACGACCTGGGGACAAGATCCCCAAGGACCGGTACAAACCGACAGGTTGCTCAATGTGGCGTGGTAGGCCCGATCTCCGAGCTGTAGGCTGCGCATCCAGCTATCTAAGTCTTGAGAGGGCTCTACTAATCACGTCGTCCTGTTTGCGATGTTAAACAATTCCTGAGGAGTTTGGGGGATCTCCTTAAACCACCAGTACTTGGCCCAGCTATCAAGTCCGAGCCTCGGCCTACCGGTCTGCCAACCCGTGCCGAGGCCGGAGCTACCGATTGTCCACCTACCTAACCTGCTTCCGAAACACAAGGAAGAGAAAAGAGAAAAAAAGATAAGAAAAAAAAAATCACCATTCGTTTTTTAAGATGAAAAAAGAAAATGAATGAAATAACAGACTAGATTTAGAAAAAAAGAAAAACGGCCTCATTTCAATTGTTTTTGGAAATGAAAAGCAATCGTTTTGTAAAAAAAAAAAAAAAAAGAACAAAAAAATAACGGGACTGCTGTTTTCGATAGAGAGCCACGACTCTCTCTCTCTCTC